CCTCTCCTCCTCCGTCTCCTCCACCTCCTCCTCCTCCTCCTCCTCACCTTCCCTTTCGTCGTTGTCCTCCCCCTCCTCCTCATCTTCCTCACCCTCTTCCTCCTCATATTCCTCCTCCGCATCCTCCTCATCCTCGTCCTCCTTCTCCGCTTCCTCATCTTCCTCCTCCTCCTCCTCCTCCTCCTACTCTTCCTCTTCCCCCTGTTCCTCCTCCTCCTCCGTTTCATACTTATCGTTCTCCTCGTCCGCCTTCTCCTCCTCTGTCTCCGCCTCCTCTTCCTCCTCCTCTTACTCCTCGTATTCCTCATCCTAATCCTTCTATAACTCCCCCTCCTCCTCCTCCTCCTCTTCCTCCTCCGTCTCCTGCTCCTGCTCCTCCTCCTCCTCCTCCTCCTCCTCCTCCTTCCCCTCCTCCTCCCCTCCTCCTCCTCCTCCTCCCTTCATTCCTCCCTCTCGGCATTATCCTCCTCCTCCCCTCCTCCTCCTCCTCCTCCTCCTCCTCCTCCTCCTCCTCCTCCTCCTCCTCCCTCTCGTCGGCCTCCTGCTACTCCTCCTCCTCTCCCTCCTTCTCCCCTCCTGCGTCTTCCTCTTGTTCCGCATCCTCCTCCTCCTCCTCCTCCTCTTCTTCCTCGTCCTCCTCTGGCTTGTTCTCCTCCTCCTCTTCCTCATCCTCCTCATTCCTCTCGTCGTCCCTCTCATGTTCCTCCTCCATATCGTCGTCCTCTACTTCTCGTTCTCCTCCTCTTCCTCCCCCTCCTCTTCCTCCCTCTCCCCATCCCTCTCGTCGTCCTCCTCCTTCCCTTCCTTTTCATCCTTCTCCTCCTCATCCTCCTCCTCGTCTTTCTGTTTCTTCTCCTCCCCCCTCTCCTACTTCCTCCTCCTCTTCCGCTTCCTCCTCCTCCTCATCCTCATCATCATCATGCTCGTCAGGTCGTTGTTGCTGTCGGCCTTGGATCTCGCCTCCTTCTCCTCCTCCTCCTCCTCCTCCTCCTCCTCCTCCTGTCGCTGTCGCTGCCGGCCTCGGGATTCGCATCGAACGCGGCCCTTCTCCTCCTCATCCTCCTCCTCATTTGTTTGCAGTTGTTCGGACATTAAGAGCTAGCCTGTTGCGTGATGAGCTGGTGCAGCAATATTGCCGACTTGCGCGGTGTAGAAACAAACAAAACAATATGGGCCCTCCCCCCCCCTCCCCTATGGAATGCATCCTGGCTGTTTTTGGCGCCTGTACTCAGTGAACGATCAGATACACACCATTCCTCCTCCTCCGTCCTCCCCCTCCTCCTCCTCCTCCTCCGATTCCTCCTCCTCCTCCTCCTCCTCCTCATCCTCATCCACCAAGATACCCACCACTCCCCGACTCCGATCCTCCTCCTCCTTGAACCCGGTTCCTAGAGGTATGATGCCGTTGCGGGTGCTACCGTTTCCCTCCTCCTCCTCCTCCTCCTCCTCCTCCTCCTGCTCCTCCTCCCTTTTGCTCCTCATTCTTTCGCCCTCCCTTCTCCTCCTCCTCCTCCTCCTCCTCCTCCTCCTCCTCCTCCTCATCCTCCTCCCTCGTCATTCGCCTCCCTCCTCCCTTCTCCTACTCTCTCCTCCTCCTCCCCCTCCTGCTCCTCCTCCTCCTGCTCCTCCTCCCTCATGCCTTTCTGAGCCCGTGGCCTGCCCGCCGCTGAACCCTCATGGTGCTGGCTTGAGCGCCTCCGCCCGCCTGCGGCCGTGCGCGTGGAGGTGAAGTGCGGGTTTTACCTTGGGAAGTTCTTCGTCTTCTCTGCATGCTGATTGATGTCCCGCAGGGGCTCGTGAATGTCGAGCTGCTCGACCGACTCTTCTTCATCAGCCAGCGCGGCACCTTTTCGTCGGTCCTCATCGTGTCTGACGTGCAGGCCGCCAGCGTCCTGTTCGGGAACGGGCGTCTTGCAGGAGGCGAGCACGGCGATGTTGGTGCGTACCAGCAGTGGTATGCGCAAGATGGTCCGGCCGCCGCCGCCGCCGATGCGCCTGCCCCTGGATGCTGGGCGTGGCCAGGTGAAGTCCACCAAGGAGGAGCCGGTGCCCGTGCCGCCGCCGCCTCCGGCCATGCTGAAGCCGCTGGACCAGGTCGAGCTTGAGATTTTCAGGGACCAGAGCATGTACCCGAAGGAGTTCGAGGAGAAGAGGGAGAGCTTGCACAAGAAGCACAAGTTTGTCGACAGGGCGTCCGAGGAGGTGGAGTACAAGATGGTGAGGTTGGCGGCCCCTCCAATACCTCCACCGCCGGGAGTACTCCACAACTCGGACCCGTACCTCAAGATAGTGGAGGCGCCCGCTGCGACGACGTACCCGAGGTCTTCTACCCGGTGTTCGTGGACAAGGGTGCCGTCCCCGCCGCCGCCTCGGGGGCTGCGGAACCCGAGGCCACCACCGAGGCGATGGCCGCTGCCGCAGGTACCCCCGCCGCCAAGGGCCCTGTGAGGCAGCCTCGCAAGGAGTTGACGCCCGACGAGCTCAAGGAGAAGAGGAGGCAGCGGTGGGTCAACAATAAGGAGGAGAAGCGCAGTCGACAGGCTGGTGATGTTTTGCAGTTGGAGCTTGACTTGATCGCAGCGAGCGGTTGTGATGAAAGCGAGGCCGTTCCTGAAGAACTTCAGCAAGAAGATTTCGCGGTTGCCGACGAGGCTGGTGGAGCCTCTCTTGATGAACGTGGAGGAGATCTTGCGCTATCAGAAGATGCGCACATACAGGCTGCTGCTCATGGTGCGGATGTTCCTTCGGAGCTTCGTGAAAGCGTCTGCGATTTCGACGAGGGCTCGGAGCCTACCGAAGAAGCAAAGCACGATGCGAGAGCGCACATTGTTGGTGGAGATTATTTCGGCCTGGACCCGTTCTCTTGCAGGGGTGGGTGCAGCAGCTCGTCGAAGGCGAGATCGGCACGAACGAGTTGAACAAGCTCGTGAAGTCGGCCTTGATTTTGGCGCACTGCTCAGCTACAGCATCCAGCTCTACTTCATAGATATGTCTGGCCGGCCTTCGACTTAGAGGTCACGTCCCTCGTCTCCGCCAGCACGTACACGGTGTTGTACCGCTTGTGATTTATTGTTCCAGCCTGCCGCCGCGCCGCCCAGCAGTCGTGTCGGCCGTCGCCCACAGCAGACAAAACTCTTGCTGCTCCTCCCCCTCCTCCTCCTCCTCCTCCTCCTCTTCAAGTTCCTCCTTCTCGTCCCTCCTGCTCATCATTATCATCGTCCTTCTCTGCTTGCCCTGCGGATGGTGCAAACCATCCCTGCTTGAGAGCACCATTTCGAGGAGGAGGGGCCCAGACGTGCTTGGTCAAACCAGCAACAACAGAAACCGAAACTTCTGGCCTGTTTCGGCATCTGGATTCCCTCGCCGGGCCACGGGGCCGGCAGCAAGCGACGCAGGATGAGGAACCCGCCACGGGAAAGGGTCGGGACTTGCGGAGACCCCGTATTGACAAAATCGAGGCATCGCATGTTTGGGATTTCCTCCTGGAAATCGAATTTGGAGGATGGGGGGATGGGGGGATCGAGGAGGTTTGGGACGTTTTGCAATCGTCTACTGTAGCCCTGGGGACTTCTGGGAGGTTCATTGGGGTCCATTGTTTAGACGACCGTGCCGACCCCCCTAGTGGTGACCATCCCGTGGCATGGCCTGGGAGGACATGGAGGTGATGAGGTTGCTGCAGCAGGCCAACGTCGTGTGGACGGACGGAGAGGACCGGGGGCAACCTGCTGCATCGACAGTGGTGGGGAGGTCGTTTCTGGTTCGAGGTTCGAGGTCATCGGACGTGTTCGACCTTGTCTCGTCGGTTCTCGAGCCTCGGGATGCTCTCCAGCAGCTGCGCCTCGCCGAGAGAGGCGCCGATAGGTGCCAGGGTCGCGCCGCCGGAGGCATGAGCTATGAGCTATGACCCAAACAAGCACAAGACGACGAGGATCATTGGGGGGCGGCTGCCTCCACAGAGGGGGCATGCTCCCGATCTCGGTGGTGCTGGTAGTGGTCGGCCTTCCGAGGTGGCCGCAGTATTGCGAACAACGTCCAACCTGTGGACGTGTCAGATCAAGAGGCCTCTTCCCGAAAAACTCGGCCAGCGTTGGTTGACCAACTTGCCGGAAAGCTGGCCCCGTGTCTCGAGCACGCTCGCCCCTGCCAGCGTGAACAACAGAAATATACCCAGGCGCGTTTGGACAGTTCCTTGGAAGCTGGCCCGCATATGTTCAGTTAGAAGTCTCTTGATCACATCGATCGTCTTCCCTCGTAGGAGGCAGCCCCCTCAGTGTTGGCGTCGGTGGCCCATGTCCAAGCCTCGAACATCAGGGGTAGCGTTACCGAGGGGGAAAAACTCGAGGGCGGACGCGGGAACCCCCTACTCGTTGACTGGGCGCCGACGCGGGCCTCACAGCCCACCCCGCCCAGGGTCGTGCGGTGTCGCCGTCGGGGTCCTATCGTGCACGTCGTGCCGATTCCAAGCTAATGGTTCCCTCCCTCCGTGGCCTTACGTCGGGCACGCCCCTCTACAGGTGGAGTGTTCAAAAGTGGTTTGAAAAAGTCTGTGGACGAGTTTTCTATCATTTTTGTTTTTTGGTGGCCCACATGATTTGTCGTCCAGACTCCGCCTGCAGGAGGAAATGCCCGACCGAACCCTGGGCCAGTCGCCCCGTCCCCCCACCGCGAGGATGGCCGGAAAAAGTCCGTGGTGCTGTTCAAGCTAGCGGGCCGCCGGGGCTACTCGCCCGCGTACGCCCTCCTGGCGCAGCGGGCGCTGCGCGCGGGCGACGTCCCCGTGGCCGTGGACGCGCTCTGCGCCCTGCTCGGCCACAAGGACGGTTCCCTTGGGAGGACGAGGAGGAGGGGGAGGAGGGGAAGGAAGAGGAGCAAAAGGATGGGGAGGGGGCGGCGGTGGTGGTGGAGGAGGAGGAGGAGGAGGAGGAGGAGGAGGTGGAGGGAGGAGGAGGAGGAGGGAGGAGGAGGAGGAGGAGGTGGAAGGGGATTAGGGAGGAGGAGGAGGGGGGAGGAGGGTGGAGACGGCATCTGAGGAGAGGTGAGATGGAGGAAAGGGGTGGGAGGAGGGGAGGAGGAGGAGGAGGAGGTGGAGAGGATAGGAGGAGGGGGCAGGAGGGGGAGGAGAAAGGAGGTAAGGAGGAAAGGAGGGGGGGAGAGGAGGGAGGAGGTGGAGGAGGAGGAGGAGGAGGAGGAGGAGGAGGAGGAGGAGGAGGAGGAGGAGGGCCAGGTCGGGCCACGGCGGTCCCCCTGCGCGGGCCACGTCCGCGCAGCATCGGTCTCCGGACCGTCCTGGACCCCTCCCTGGGGGGGGGCGATCACCCCATGACCCCCTCGCGTCGCGAAAAAATCGCCACGGGAGGTGCTGCGTCGTTCTCGGCCTCCGTGGACCGTCACCGGGCCCCAGGACCGTCAAAAAACGACTCAGGATGAAGAACCGGTCCGGGGGAAGGGGTCCAGACCTCTGGGGGTCGACGTCGTGTGAAAAAATAACAACGTCGGGGGGGGGTCTGGAACTGCAGGGGGGGGAGAGAATAGGTACCCAGTTCGGGGCCCAGGCAGTCCCGACGCTTTCCCCATGACCGGCTTTGCATCCTGAGTCGTTTTTTTGACGCTCCCGAGGCCCGGGGAGAGGGCCCCGGGAGGCTGAAATTTAGGGAAAAAACTCCGTCATGATTTTTTTCTCGGCTTTTTCCTAGCTCTTTATCTATTTCATTTTATTTTTCATTCTGCACTTTTCTTCTTAAAAATCTTCATTTTACAATTCTTTTATATCTTCTTATTCTTTTTCTATATTACTATTTTCTTCTTCTTCTTCTTATTTTCTTTTTCTTCTTCTTTTCTTCTTCTTTTATTTTTTCTTTTTTTCTTCTTCTTCTTTTCTTCTTTTTTTTTTTATATATTTTTTTTAAATTTTTTTTTTTTAACCCAAAAATTATAAACCCCCCCCCTCTTCTTATATTCGTATTATGTGATTATTAGGAGTAGGAGGAGGATGCGGAGTAGGAGGAGGAGAGGAGGATGGTGAGGGAGGGAGGGAGGGAGGGAGGGAGGGATGGAGGGGATGGGAGGGAGGGAGGAGGGAGGGAGGGAGGGAGGGAGGGAGGAGAGGGAGGGAGGGAGGGAGGGAGGGAGGGAGGAGGAGGGAAGGAGGAGGAGGAAGAGGAGGAGGAGGAGGGGAAGAGGAAGGAGGAGGAGGGAGCGGGAGGGCGGAGGAGGAGGAGGAGGAGAGGAGGAGGAGGAGGAGGAGGCAGGTGGAGGAGGGAGGAGGATGAGAGGAGGGAGGAGAGGAGGCGGAAGGAGGAGGAGGAGGAGGAGGAGGAGGAGGAGGAGGAGAAAGAGGGGTGGAGGAGGAGGAGGAGGAGGTGGAGGAGGAGTGAGGAGGGAGGAGGAGGTGGAGGAGAGGAGGTGGGAGGAAGAGGGGATGGAAGAGGAGGAGCAGGAGGTGGAGGAGGAGGAGGAGGAGGAGGAGGAGGAGGTGGGGAGGAGGAGGAGGAGGAGGAGGAGGAGGAGGAGGAGGGAGGGAGGAGGAGGAGGAGGTGGAGGGGAAGGTGGAGAGGAGGGGAGGTGGAGGAGGAGGAGGAGGAGGAGAGGAGGAGGAGGGAGGGAAGGAGGAGGAGGGGGAGGAGCCTCTAGGCTCCCGGCCTCGAGCAGGTGGGGTCGGAGGCTCGCGCCGCATGGCGGACGCCTCGTCGAGGCATCGGCGATGCGGCCCCATGCGGGGCCCGCTCTTCCCCACGCCGGCGTCGCCGAGGCGTCGACGGCGAGGTGCAGTCCCTCCGCCCGCGCCTGGCTGCTTGGACCCCGCTCGGGAGGTCTCGGCAGGAGGCCCCCGAGCGACGGAAGTCACCGGGGGCGGCCGCCGCTCTCGGCCGGGCGTCGGTCGGGCACGTCCCTCTGCAGGACGATGGTTGGATCGTGTCTGGCTACGTTCGGGCACAGCCGAGGCGCTGACAGAAGGGACGCCTCGGGTGCGGAAGGGGCTCGCTGTTCCTGAAGCTCTCCCATGGCTCCTCCTCCATCACTCCTCGTGCAGCTAGGCGCTTCTGGGGCCAACAAGGGGCTCCGTTCCTTATTCAGCGTTCCTTCTGGTAGTACCTCGACTGGATGTTCTGACAAGTTTTGGGTTTCCTCCGCAATCCCCCTGACATGCCAGACCCAAAGCGGGGCCCTCTTCCGAGAGGACGCGCGCCTCCAGAGCAGCGACGGCCTGCTCGACGCCTGCGCGGACCAGCTCGCCGAAGCCCTGCGGGACCCGGCGCACGCGGACCTGCTGGCGGCGCGCGCGCCCGAGCTGGAGCGGCTCTCGAAGACGTGGCCGGCCCTGCAGGTGCTCGAGTCGGGCGGAGAGAACTGTGCACATGCACCGATCCTGACAACGTCCATCCTTGACCCAGGATCGGTACATATACCTTCCTGGCCAAGGTAAGAGGGCGTATGCACCGATCCTGGGCTCGGGATGGGCCTGGTCAGAATCGGTGTATGTGCATAGTTCCTTTTCCTCCTATCGAGGAAAGACGCACTCACCAGGAGGGAAGGATAGGCAGACACGAATACACGTCGATTCCCAGGAGCATGTCGGAAAACATGGGAGCTGGAGGGGAGGACGGGCCTCCAGGCAATAGGACAGATATTCTGGGAATCCTTGGACGTGTGTGCCCCTAGGCCCCAGCCAACTTAGACAGTAAATCACGGAAGCTTCCGCTCGCCCTGGATTGAGTGCACGTCGGAGAATAGCGCCCAATAGCACCCAATAGCATTCAGTAGCGCCCAGTAGCGCCGAACAGCGTTCAAATAGCGCCCGGTAGTGACCAATAGCGCCCAACAACGCCATGTGAGGGAGGTGCATGGTGTCCGCTTTGCGCGCAATTGGGCGCGCTATTTCGCGCCATCGGGACGACCCAAAGCTTCCGTGAATTGATTTCTAACATTGACCATTACCAAGATGTCGCGTGATCTCGTCGTTCACCGACCTTGGTCCATGCTGGCCGCCGCCGATCCGCGAGGCTGAGCCACGAGCCGGCGGTGGCCAAGATGTGCGGTGACCAAGATCGTCGACGACGTTTCCTTTTCCAGTTTCGGTCAGGGTAGTCAGTTTCTTCCCTTCCAGGTGGGCGACGTGAGAAATTTCACCGACATTGGCGTGTAAGCTGCCCGCGTAAGCTCGCGCGTACGCGCCCTCGTTTCCAATATGTAGCGTGCCGCGCCGGCGGCCCGCGTTAGCCATCGCGTAGGGTCGTTATGTCATCTCCTTAGCTGCCGTGATGCGCCCATTCTGAATCGCAACACGTGCCGTGCTCAAAACATCCGTGCTAACACGCTGCGTGTTGACTCAACGTTTTGGCCCACGTTTTGGCGAACGCATCCCGCCGAACGCACGTCTTCAATATGCATGTTGAGCTCCGTGTCAACACGCTACGGGTTGCGTGTTGCGTCTCGGGGCGGCGAAGGTAATCTCGCGTAAGACCCGTTTCTTTTCGTCGCTCAGGTGCTGCTCGTGCTGGCCGCGGTGAGGCAGGGCGGCGGCGGCGGAGCCCCCCCCCCTCGCGTCGCTACAGGGAGGCTCTTGGCCGCCTGCGGCCTCCTGTGGGGTTCCCCCGCTGGGCCACGGGGCCGTGAGGGAACGACTCGCGGGTGAGAGTCCGGCCCCGGGGAAGCCCCGGGGAGTTTGGGCATCCTGGGTGGGGGCCGTATTGTAAGCGTTTTCTTGTTCGTTGTTTTGCCGATCGGCGCGGGCCCTCGCCCCCCCCCCCCCCCCATGGAGTAGATCTTGGTCGTTTGTTGGGCGCCTGTTTCGAGCAGGTGGAGTCTCCCCCATAGGACGCACTGTTGCAAACAGTCGCGTTGAGCAGAGGTCCGAAGCCAGACCCCCCCCTCACCCCCCACCCTTGCCGCCCAATGTCGAAACGCCGATCAAGAAAACATTCACATTAAGACCATCGAGACGTCGAATGACTGTAAAACTATTTTTTCCGTTTTCGCCTTTGGGGGCCTCCTGAGAGGCCCTCGCCGCCCGGGCTGGATTCGCTTCGAAATTCTGATCACAGGGCGCCCCTGGAGAGATCTGGCCGTACCGGCGAACTGGCACCTTTTGACAATTATGCCCAGGAGGAGCGGCTTCGGCGTTGCAGGACCTTGCTGGCAAGCAGGCGCACTCGAGGGCGCTGATCGAAGAGATCGCGTCCACGCCAGCGGCGGCAGCGGGCAGCTCCGGATCTTCTTCTTCGCGGCCAAAGGCGACAGTACCGCCTCTCATCGAAATCATCGATGAGGCCCCGTCTGTCGGTGCCTCGGCCGCCAAGAAGACGCCGGAGAACCTGGCCAGGCTTCCCCCCAAGCTGCGGGAGAAGCTGCGCGACAAGGCAAGCCAGCCACCAGTGAGCGATTCAGAAGAGCAGGGGGCGTCTTAACGGACGGTGGCGCGTAAGCTGTCCGCGTGAGGTCGTGCCGCGCTGGCGGACTGCGTTAGCCACCGCGTACAGTAAGGTCGCCATGCAATCTCCTTAGCTGCCCTGGCACGCCCGTTTTGAAACGCAACACGTGCCGTGCTCAAAACACACGTGCTAACAGTTAACACGCTGCCTGTTAACTAACTCAACGTCGTGGCCCACCTTTCGGCGAACGCATCGCGCCGATCGTACGCTTTCGATCTGCGTGCTGAGCTCTGTGTCAACACGCTACGGGTTGCGTGTCATCTCGCGTAAAATTAGTTCCCTTCTGTCGCTCAAGCCGGGGAGCTGTGCTGCAGCACCACTCCCTGGCCCAGAAAAAGAGCGCATCGGCCTCGGCGCCCCTCTCCAAGAGGCCGTCGATGTGCGATCCCAGACGTCCGACGTGTTGGTTGCGTCAGTGCGGGGTCCCCGCGGAAGGCCCAGCCACCTCTCCTGGGCCAGTTTCTCATTCGGCCAGGGCCGTTTCTTGACGGTCCCAGGGGCCCAACGAGGAGATTCGGTCTCTGCACAACCCGAACAACACTCCACAACCGAGACAGGTCACTCCACAACCAGCACAGGATCGAATTCCATGGCTTGCTTTTGAAAGCGACCACTCTGCAACCAGAACAGCCCACCTCACAACCAGAACGACCACTTCACAACCCAGCCCAGGCGGGGCTCTCTGCAACCATAGAGACCACTTTACACAACCAGCCTTCAGAAGCGCGGGAGCGCTCTGCAGAGGCTTCTGAGGCCCCGGAGCGCCTGCCTGAGCGCCCTGCAGAGGCTCCTGAGCGCCTGAGCGTTCTGCAGAGGCTTCCGAGCGCTCGGGCGCTTTGCAGAGACTTCTGAGCGCCCGACCGCCCTGCAGACGCTCTTGTGGCTTCTTAGCGCCTGAGCGTTCTGCAGAGGCTCCTGAGCGCCGGAGCGCTCTGTGGAGGCTTCTGAGGTTCTGAGCGCCTGAGCGCCGTGCCGATACCTTTGAGGCTCCTGGGCGCTTGCGTGATCTGCAGAGGTCCCTGAGGATACGGATGAGAAGGGGGCGGAGGAGGGGGGCCGTTTTGCGGCTGCTACTGCCGAGATGTTGCTCTCCGGGGCTTTTGGAGGGCCTCTTGGGCAAATTTTGCCAACTACTTCTTGGCCGCGTGTCCGCCCTCCTGGGTACGCATGCTTCCGCGAAGGTGCAAACAACAGGGTATTCTATTGCCACAAGGTGAGGCGCGAGGGCAAAACATGTCTGCAGGGCACAAACAAAGACAACTTGAAATCCGCATGCATTGGCTAGAATTGAATCAACGATGTCTTGTGCACATTGCCTGCCTCCTGGGTACGCATGCTTCCGTATTGCCCACATTTGAAATTTCCATGTAATGTTCAGAGATTACCAATGATTTCTTGGCGACGTGTCCGCTTTCCTGGGTACGCATGTTTCCTTACATGCGAAGCCATACGCTTTTGTTTTTGCCGGACGATGGGGCTCAAGGGCAACACATGTCTATGATGCACAAACACTTCTTGAAATCCACATGTATTGGCCAGAATTTGACCAACGATTTCTTGGCGACATTTCCGCTCTCCTGGGGGCGCGCGTGCTCCTTTGTGTCTTTTGCGGCGAACGCTCTAAAACAAGCAATATGTTCAGGCAGAGGTTCTGAGTTCTGAGGCTCCAATATTAAGATGTAGACTTAGGGCATAGATGTAAACAAAGGCGTCAACCGCGAAGGCCTGTCACCAGCCTGTAGCAGGAGGATCCCGATTGGATTTCACTTGGGTTTCACTCGCTCCTTTTGGATACCACAAGGATAACAGTAGGACGCCAATCGGGGTACCGTATGACTCAGAAAGAACAGCTTCTTGCCGTGATGGGAACATTATATGCTCGTACGGATCGCAAAGGCAGGAGTCCGATTGGATTCCAGCGCGATTTCCTTCGTATTCGCCCACATGGTTTCGATGGGATTCCAAGAGAAGCGGTGCCTAGTGTTTTCGAACGAGAACCCGGAAAAAGATCCCACCAGGTTTCCATATAGTACCCTAGTGCGTTTCCTGCAGCATTCCAATACGAACGTTGTTCGATTGTAATCCAATGGGGCTCCCGACCGGTTTCCATTAGGAAGGGCCCCACCGATCGGTTTCCAATAGGACAGTCGTAGGCCCCATAGCGAGGAATCTTGTTGGATACCAATGCAATTCATCCAGTGCCAATAGGATCCCAGTGGGAAGGGGTCCGCTAGATTCCAATGAAATTCATTTGGGATCCCATTAGGAACCCGCCACTTCACAGGTTCTCGATTCGGAGGCGTCACTTTACGACCAACACGCTTCAGAGATCGAGTTGTCTCCCTTACGTGGGCCAACGGATATTTCGCAAATGGTAGAACATGTTTCTGTTTTGTGCGTTTACTTGCCTGGTTGTACAAAGGGCTGGTTGTAAAGTGCCATTGTGGGAAAACCCATTCTGGTTGTAAGCTGCCCCATCTAGGTGCAAAGTGGCCGCTCTGGTTGGAATGTGACCCGCACGCGCCCAACCAGGGTCCCGGCCACCACATTTCCCGTCGGCTTTTTTGCTCTTCGGCGCGCGACGCGAGCATTCTTGGAATGGAAAAATCTTGACGAACCACGATTAGAACCCTGGACTAAACCCTATACTTCTGCGGCTTTCTGCGGGCGGGATCGATCTGTGAGGGTCCCCGGGCGCGAAACAAGGCAACATCGCCTCCTGTGAAACAAATGCGACGCCACGATCCAGAAGGGGTTCCCGGGGTGGGGGAAATCAAAAGCGCAGCTCCCTAGGACGTGTTTGGCTAGAACGAGGAGGATGGAGATATGGAAAAGGAGCAGGAGGAGAAGGACGAGGAGGAGGAGGAAGAGGGGGACGAGGATCAGAACGAGGCGGAGGAGGAGGAGGAGGAGGCGGAGGAAGAGGAGGAGGCGGAGGCGAATGCGGAGGCGGAGGCGGAGACGGAGAAGAGGCTGAGGAAAAGGAGGGAGGAGGAGGGCGGAGGAGGAGGCGGAGGACAAAGAGGAGGAGGAGGAGGAGGGATGAGGATGACGATGAGGATGAGGAGGAGGCTGAGGGAGGAGGATGAGGATGGGATGAGGATGGGAACGAGGAAAGGCAGGAGGAGGGAGGAGGAGGGAGGAGGAGGAGGAGGAGGAGGAGGAGGACGGAGGACGGAGGAGGAGGAGGGAGGAGGAGCGAGGAGGAGGAGGAGGAGGAGGAGGAAGGAGGAGGAGGGAGGAGGAGGAGGAGGAGGGGCGGAGGAGGATGAGGAGGAGTAGGAGAAGGAGGAGGAGGAGGGAGGAAGATGAGGAGGGGGAGGAGGAGGAGGAAGAGGAGAGGGAGGCTGAGGAGAAGGAGGAGGAGGAGGAGGAGGAGGGATGATGGCGATGATGATGATGATGATGATGATGATGATGATGATGATGATGATGGTGTTAATGATGATGATGATGATGATGGTGATGATGATGCTGATGATCATGATGGTGATGCAGATCGTGATGACGATATTCATGATGATGCTGATGATGATGCTGGTGATGGTACTGATGATGCTGATGATGATGATGCTGATGCGGATCATGATGCTGATGCGGATGATGATGATGATGATGCTGATGATGATGATGGTGGTGATGTTGATGATGATGATGATGATGATGACGATGATGATGATGATGCTGCTGCTGATGATGATGATGATGATGGTGGTGACGGTGGCGACGATGATGCTGATGATGATGATGATGGTGGTGGTGGTGATGATGATGATGATGCTGATGCTGTTGCTGATGATGCTGAAGATGATTATGCTGATGATGATGATGATGCCTCTTCTATTCTCTGTGAGCAAGCTCCTGCTGTCTCCGCAGCTTCTCTGCCCAAGTGCCCCCCGTCGGCCGCGCGTGCGGGCGCCTTATGCAGGCGGTCGCACAAGCGGCTCTCCAGGGCGCTGGGGAGATTTTGTTCAGGGGGGGGCTGCGGGCCGCGCTCTACGAGCGGCTCGTGGCTGCCCCCCTCTCTGTGCTTCAGGACCAGGGGCCTCCATCGCCTGCCTGGTCCATCCAGCAGGCGGACTCGTCCGAGGGTGAGGGGGCCTCCTGCCCTCTCCCTTCGGCGGGTTCCACCTGCCCCACCGTCTGCCTCGGGCTGGCGGTGGACCTGAGCGGCGGGGTCTCTCCCTGGCTGCTCAGCACGGTCGCCGCCCTCCTCTGGGTGACGGCCGCTTGCAGCGCCTGCGCGGGCTGCTGCCTCGGGCTGCTGGGCCCGTGCGTGTGGCGGAGGCTCTGGCCCTCCGCCTGGCCGCGCGGCGCGGTTCCTGCTTCCCCTGAGCAGGACCGCCGTGCGGCGCGAGCGCTGGCCTACGGGGTTCCGCCTCGACCTCAAGCGCTCGAGCGGGCAGACGCCCAGCGTGCGGGCGGCGGCCTCCACGGCGGCGCCCATTGATGGCGGAGCTGCCACCAGTTGGCGGAGGGCCCCTTTGGCCCGAGCTCTACCCTTTCGCTGCGCCCACGGCGCGCGACTACGCACGATGGCGCCTAGACGACGGCGACACCAGCTGGGCGGCTATCCCCCTCGCCTCTCGAGAAGGGGGCATCCTGCTGGCCCTGCCTGGTGCCTTTCGCTCTACGGCGGAGCTCGAGGCTGCCGAGGCGGATGGCTTTGCTGGATGATAGGCCCCTTCCAGCTAGTGGACGTTCAGCTCCAGGGGGCCGCTTCCCGGCCGCTCGCCACTACCGCATCCGTCCTCGTTATAGATATCGAGGTTGCCGAGCTCGAGCTCGAGTCGCTGTACCCTCTAGAGGTCGGCGACGACGCAGGCATCATTCCCTTCGCCGAGGTGCGCAGCCGCGTCTATTGGCCGCATCCTTCGGGGGTTCGGGTGCTTCGCGAGGGCTACGCTCGTTTGCACGGCGCCCCGCCTA